GCTAAGTCACTACTTTAGCCTAAATAAATTTGAGTACATGCATGAGCAGACATGAAGCTGTTTTACTGGAACATATTTTGTTAACATGTTACTTTTTTTTAGAGAGGGAAAGAGAGAGAGCTAAATATTTTATGATTTGATTTACAGATATTTATGGGAATGAGAATATCGAGCAAAAAATTGCCAGAATATTTTCTAAACTTCATCGCGCAGTTCAGCGAGAAATTGAAGTTCGCAATAAGTTAGCTGAGGTAAACAACTGAGTTTTCTTTTCAATGTTCAACTTCGCATATTACTTTTAATGATCTACATAAAGTAGTTATATGTTACATCATCTAATACTAATACTATATGGTTATATTTTCTTTTTTTAGTTACGTGGTATGTTAGATATGCTCATTCAAGTATCAGAAATGAACAATGGGAAATTGATAGATAATGAAGAAGATGATAGAGTTTTTGGTGAAGTCGTTGTAACTCCTATTCCTTTTACGATGGATGTTAATGGACGAAGTAACAATAACGGTTTTTCTAGTACTACCTAAAGTTGTCTTTGAAAACTTTTCTAAGTAAACCTTCAATTTTCAGTTTTAGATAAAATTAAAATAAAGTGATATAACATTTTTCTCTTTTTAGTAAAGCATTGTTTTTTGTTGTTTTTCTGTTTTATTTGGTACTAATACATACACGGGAACATTTGATATGTCAGGTGTTGTTTGGTTACGGATTAGTTTGCATCGGCTTATCTTCTTCCTACTTGAAACGCATCTTTTGATTAGAACACTTCTGTCCTTGGGGTTATTTTATCAATTTTTTGACTCCAATCAACAAGTAATTTTTGGTTTATTCAAAAACAGGCACTTAAAATTGTCGAAACAAAAGTAGCAATAATAGAAGGAAAATCAGAGGGGTATTTTCAAATATTTTTCCGGTATTATTGCAGTAATCAGTTTGACAAATACATTCGTCACCTATACCCCCTTTCCACAAAACGCTTGTTTCACAATATTCTAACAATGGCTCACTGATTTGTTGACACATTTTTTGTACTCGTAGAATTCCTGAAGTAACTTTTTTATGCTTTTTATTGATGAATGTTCTGATTTATATGTCGCTGAAACACTCACTATAAAATTCATATAAGTACTTCGAACGATTAAGTGATATAAGTTTCGGTGTTCAATATGAAGCAGTGAGTGATAAAATTACAATTTTTTAAGATATATGAAATAAAAAATGTTGGACTTATTTTTAAAACTTCAGTAATATCTCTTGACAACGTATGCAAATAATTTTATGAGCATAAATCTCTCATCAGAGTTTACCAAAATCACTTTGAAATAAAGTATATAACAAAAAGTTGAGTTGAAACATTCTTGATTTAAGGCTCAATATTTTTACTAATTTAAAAGTTTTGTATACGTAGTTTATACTAATTGTAGTACTTACCGTCGATAAGAGCGGAACGCTTAATACATGCGGTACCAATACATGTTCCGCCGAAGCAGTTAATGTCTCCGATGCTATCGCACATGTAACATACCACCGAGTATCCTAAATCACTCATACTTTTTGCAAATCTCCTGTTTATTTTCAATTTTTTAAAGTATATGACATTTCGTTTCAATTCCCTAATTTTCATCCCATTAGAAAAAATTTCTTCTTTTGAAATGAGCTTTCTTTTCAAATTACATGCTGGACAAAATCAAAATATTGAAGATAATGTTGACACAAAAAATGACAAAATTCTGATTGCATAAGGAAAAATAACTGCTAATAATTAATTTATACAAATAATAATGATAACAGTTAACAAATCTCTATACTATAATGTTATTTTTACTATTATCATTATAACATTATTCTTAATGTAAAATGTTAGAAAAAATAATGTAACCTTGTGGGATGACAATATAAAGTATATTGAAAAAGAGTAGAATCACTGTAAACATATGAAGAGTTGAGTTAAAATGAAAATGATGAACGAACTATTGGCAATTGAAGCTATAAGTAAGTACTTACTTTTATATAAAGTTATAAGAAACTAGTTCAATTGACACGATCGTCAATCATATAATGGAAACATGTTTTCTATATATTGTCGATATCCAAAATTTCATTTTAAATTTTAAGATGATATTTGACTACTTATAAATTGATATATCAGAATATTTTTTATCATTTACATCGATATTTCATTTCGAATTCGTCATGTTACTAATCTGCAATTATCAAAATTTACAGTAGTAATTATCGGTGTTAGTTTATAAATGAAATTAATAACATAAATAATTTATTATAAAAATAATCAATACGAGATTTATATGAAATATAAGGATTTACACGAATCACGTATACCGTTGTTTACACGAATCACGTATACCGTTGTTTACACGAATCACGTATACCGTTGTTTACACGGATTTCATCACGAGATCACAGTAATCAATGTTTGTAATGATCAATACTTAGTGATCATTTAAGTTGAGAGAGAGTGACAGAGAGGGGACAACATTAAATAATCGTTTTCATTCGATTAAAATGTCACAACTAATTTAATTAATTGCTGATAGGGAAAAAAAATGAACCTTAGCCTAGTGTGCCAATAATTTATGATAAATTTGAAAAATAAATAAATGAATGGATTAAAGGAGAAAGAGACGGAAATTAATTGCTATACCGTATCCGACGAATTATTCCTGGCGATTAAGGACAATAAGCCATAGAGAAATGATATGATGCTTCTCTGATATTTCATCCACTTCATTTGATTGAGTGATTGAGTGAGTACTTTACTCAATCAAAATACCTCTATCGAATTGATTATGTTACTTATACTTTTTCTGTTCACACTGATAATAAGTATTACTCTATTTAAATAACTCTTACAAACTTACTTACTTTAATCATATAACAATGTAATATTTCTTATATGTAGAAAAAGAAAAAAATTTTTCATTTATTTATAAATAACATAGCAATTAAAAAAAAGTATTCGATATGAATCATTATTCATCCAACTATTTTATTTAAAATTTAATTAAAAAAAAAACACTCAATATTTATGTTATAATTTCTTTCATAAAAATATACAATAAATTCACTTTAAAATAAAAAAAAACTTTTAAAAAATACTACTTTAAAATTTTCTTAAAATATATTTGAATAACTAATCGAAATGACCTGAAAGAGATTAGATGAAATGTGTCGGTAAACAAAAGAAAAGAAAAAAAAAAGAAAGCAAAAGCTATGTAAGATGAACAAATTAAGCAGTAGTTACGTTAAATTGTTAATAATACTATGAGTAAAAGGAGAAGAAAAAAAAAAGCGACGTGAAGAATTGCGTTATATTGCGAGAGCTATAAGCTAATGTCCGCTTGTAGAAAGGTAAAATGACGTGAGGTGACAACGAATTGCTCGTGAGGTGACAACGAATTGCTCATCTTACATTGATCAAAGAAACCGGCCGCTTTCTATTTTACAATGTATATACTGTAATATGTACTGCATAAATAATAACATCATATATTCCATTCTCTGGTTATTTTTCACTAATATATTTCATTTTATTATATAACCAAAAATTAATTCTTATTCAAACTAATTTACTTATTTTCCGTTATTTCAAATTTTGTAGTAATTGATAATCACTTTTTGATAATAATCAGTAGCATATCTCATGTACGGAAAATTTGATAAAAAGATTATGATAATATATACAAATGGAAATTGTGCAATTTAGAGTAAATTATTTGACTTCTTTAATTAGTATATTAATTTGAGTAAATATTAGTATTATATATTAAAATGTTGAAATATTCAAATGTTTATTTATTTATTTATTTATTTTTTTTTTGAAAAAAAAAGGAAAAATTCAATTTTTTTTTACAGTATTGTTGTTAATTATACAATCATAAAATGTGTTAGAATGATTAAAGATGAAATTATGAGAAATATAAATTTATGAAAAAGCGGAAAAGAGGTCAACTGAAAAAAAAAAAGATCCTTCAGAGATGGATGAGAGGAAGTATCATCAATATAGCGGATGACATAACCACGCCCTTGGATCATCGTTTTAGCTAATAGAATTTCTTTTTGAAAATATTTGTTGATGAAAGTTAGTTTTCCTATCTAATTCGATGCTCTCAGCAGTAAATGTTTCATTTCCAATAATTTAACTTGTATTTTTGCATTAATTTTGTTTAATTTTTAAATTTAAATTAATTATCAATTTGCATTTTATTGCATTTCATAGGGGAATAGTTGCAAAAGAGTGAAGGAAGAAATATAGAGATTTAATTTTGATTTAAGATTTAAAATTTAATTTTGAGTTTTTCTTTTTTAACTAATATTAATTTAAACATTAACATTTTCTCTTATCGTAGAATAATTTTAAATCTAATTTATTTTACAAATGAACAATATTAACAGCATTAATAAGTATTAGTATTTAAATTTTAGTTAATTTAGTGGGAACAAATTGTAAGTTATTTAATGAATTAGTAATATTAACTTAAATATTAATATCTTTTCTTTTCAATTCTTCACATCATTTCATATATTAAAAAAAATATATTAAAAAATTTTAATATAGAAAAATAAGTTTCACATTTTTTTTTTTCGTATTTTCTATGCACATAAAACATTTTAATATACAAAAATAAATTTTATGTTAGTATTTTATACTGATCTAAGCATTAATATTTTTTCTCATTAATTATTAATACCAATTTATATATACGAAAGACATAGAAACGAGATTAATTAATTAGTTTGTTTAATTAATTAGTAATATTAAATTAAATATTATTATTACTTCTCATCAATTCCTTGCATCATTTCATGCAAATGATATTAAACTAAATTCTATGCTACTTTACTAATTACCAATATTAATTCAAATATTGATACTTCTTCTCAATAATTATTAATGTTAATCCAAGGCGGAGGAGTGTCATAAAATATTTTGAAGGGATATTAGAAATAAACAAAATGAAAGAATGATAAGTGATACAGAAGGTGAAGGGTCATCACAAAATTTAAGTATGAAGAAACGAAATCAGTCTAATCGAAAGGTTTGACATTGTTGTTTTTATTATTGAATGAAATTTAAAATAAAAATAATAATTGAATAAAATATTTTTAACTAATGGAAATATAAATGAATGAACTAATCTTAAGATATATTTTGAAAGTTAAAAATAATTTGTAGGAACGACGACGTAATGAAGAGATGAATCTTGCATATGCTCGATTACAACGTTGTGTACCACATATACCGCATGATCAGAAATTAGCTAAAATTAAAACTTTACGACTTGCTATGCTTTACATTAAGCATTTAGAAGCAGTAGTAGATGGATCTGTTCGGGTATGTTAAATTTTTTCTTTTTTTTTTCTTAAAATTTTTGCGTTAAATTCATTCATTTATAATATATGCATGTATTTCATTTAAATGATTTAAAATTTTGAAAAATTAATTTCAATCAATTTAGTAAAATGATGGTAAAAAATAATAATAATAATTGTATTTTTGAACATAATTATACATGAAAAAAGTAATATTTCCTTTCTCTTTTGCTTAGTTGAATAATTATCTATGCAATTAACTAATTACTAATTAATTACTACGTGTGAAAAATTTGTAATGAAAGATTAAAAAGAAAAAAAAAATATATATATAATGATAGAAATTATGGATGAGGATTAGAAAAGAATTTGAATTAAAACAAATTTTTGGGATCATTATATTATTATACCTGTCAATCAAGGTAGGTCATTTTTGTCCTTTCCAAGTATTCTTTTTAAGATTCGCTCTTCATCATCACACGAATTAAGACCGCTTGAAGTGGAAGATTTTGCATCAATTGCAATGGCTGAAATACAAGCAAGAAATAATTACAAGGGTAAGTAAAAATTAATAAAATGTTACCTCATTTCAATTTAAAATTATCATCATCACTTCTCTCTCTCTCTCTCTTTCTTTTTCCCTCCTTTTCTCGTTCTCTTTCTTTTTCTTCCTAATCTTATCCATTCATTTCATTTGACATATTTGTTTGTCAACATTGAGTGAAAAAAATGATTGATAAAAATGATAAGACATATTTGTTTTGGATTTAATTCAATTTCTTTAAAAACATTTTTTACTTTCTTTATAACATTTTTTTGAATTTTTTCTTGAAATGTTTTATTTAACCTATCATTTATCTTTATTATAGCAAAAAATGGAATTCAGATTGAAATTTTAAGTCAACAGATCCCTTTATCATAGATGAATGATAACATAATAATCATTCATAATGATCTTAAAATTGATCATTGAACTATTGACCTGAAATACGAATAGAAAAACGTGAAAATATTATCCTTCATTTATTCAGGCAGAGAAACAAATTGAAATTTTGTTGTCAACAATATTCACTTGACCTGTCATATGACATGGCGACAATCATGCATTAATAAATCATAGAACACATCTGTAAACAACTATTGTCTCCTGTTATTTTTATGACTAAATGAGCCATCCATCTTAAATACACCTCAGATGTAATTAATTAATTGCTCTAAATTGTCTCCTTTTATAATCTTGTCATATTTTTTGCCGTCTTTATTTTGAACTTTCCGATGCTAATACTTAAGAAATATTGAGACAAAAAAAAAAAATAAGGGATCTTAAAGTTATCAAATATAATAATTTCAGGTTTCATTAACTCTCAAGCTTTATCTGAAGTAAAATAATCCTAAATTGGTAATTAATTCATTTCACGGATGCAATCATTATTTATTCAATCACCAATAATAATAGTAAACATTAATTCTACCGTATCAAATAACGACATTCAAAATATTTCAAAGTAATGTAAAAGAATAAATTTCAGATCTAGCAGAGAAGGAATTGCAACGTGGCGTTCGAACGGAAGATATTTGTCGACAAACTGTACCAGAACGTTACGCACTGCAGGAAAAAACGACGCAAAATCATTTCTCATCAATTATACGATCTTCAGTAATACTTCATAATAATAATGCTACTTCTTCCACGTTTATTCATAATAACGGAATCTCTCCGACAGTAATTTCTAATAACGGAATCTCTCCTGCAGTAATTTCGAATAATGGAATCTCTCCGACAGCAATTCATAATAACGGAATGTCTCCGACAGTAATTTCTAATAGCAGAATCTCTCCAACAGTAATTCATAATAACGGAATCTCTCCCACAGTAATTCATAATAACGGAATCTCTCCGACAGCAATTCATAATAACGGAATGTCTCCGACAGTAATTTCTACTAATGGAATATCTCCGACGATAACTCATAATAGTGATAATAATAATGATAATAATCATGATACCGCAATGTCGACTACAGTAATTCCTAGTAATGGAACGCAGCGGGCAATAATTCATAATACTGCTGCGGCCACTTCAACAGTAATCCGTAATAACGCAACTTCGCCAACCGTAATTTCTAGTAATGCAACATCACCGCCAGTAATTCATGATAATTCATCTCAGGTTTCATCGTTTTCTGGACAATCTGTCGCAAATAATTTAAATTATTTTTCTTTTCCTAATTAATTAAATTCTGCAAATTCTGTTTTATCACTTTCAAAAATTTCTTTCATACAACAAATATTGTTTTCCTAGTTTACATTTGCATTTCTTGACAAATCGGTTATTTATATAATATTCTTTCACTGGCAAAAATATGCAAATATTTGTATAGTATTTATATAATATAAATCTTTTCGTGATTAACTCAACTATTATTGATTTTCCATTGATTGACTGTTTTTTTTTTTTCTATGAATGAAAATTGTTGTATAAAAATGATAAATATGATTTGTCCCCTCTTTTTCTTCTCTCTTTTTTTTTTTAAAACATATATAAGTAAAGTTTACTTACTGTTGATTCTTTCTTAATCCTATTTTCTTCTATTTCTCTGAATGTGTAGCACTGCTTGCGCCATGGCAAATCATAAACAGTTTATCATTTGAAGGATAAATGAATAATAATCCATAGGACAAAACAATGTGCCAATAGTTCGTGAACTTGAAGAATAATAGCATTGCATTGAAGTATTGAATTGCGCACTTAGCTCCCATACATGCATATGACGTAATGCGCCCCATTCTTTCATGCAATTTTATTACTTTCATTGTTTTCTACTATGTACAATGAATAGAAATACCTTAGACAGTAAGTAATCATAAAATGACAATATTTCATCTATAATAGCAGTGAATGCCAGAAAATGTTTCTAATTATGAGAAAATGTTACAAATTTGAAATGAATAGCAAATTGATATTTTATTGAAATTGTTATAATATATTGTGGATATGAATGAGAAATGTCATTTAAATGATTTATATTTGAACTATTTAAACATAATCATTCATTTTATCATGCATTTACATATGATTATATCTTTTATAATGATTATTAATTGTAATTGATTGGCCTTTATTATTATTATTATTATTATTAATATTAATATTGCCATTATTATTAATATTATTATTAATATCATTATCATTATTATTATTATTATTATTATTATTATTATTATTATTATTATTATTATTATTATTATTATTATTATTATTATTATTATTATTATTATTATTATTATTATTATTATTATTATTATTATTATTATTATTATTATTATTATTATTATTATTATTATTATTATTATCAATTGTTGTTGCATTCATTAAAAAGTGCGCAATTTTTTATTGCATTTCATTAAAAAGTATATTTAGCATTATTGCTTTTCTTTTTTTTCATCCATTTATCATCAGATTTCACAATCATAAAGAAATAATTCTTTTGTTTACATTAAAAAAAAAAAAATGCTTATGTTGTGAATGACCCTTAAGTAATCCTTCTTGGGAATGTCCTCTTTCCTCTCTGTCCACTACTTTAACGCGCAATAAACTCATCTACAAATCTCTAAAATCTGCCTGGAAAAATCAAAAATAATCAATCGAATAGTTTAACTTTCTTCTTTGTGACTTTCATATACACTTCAAATCTGTTTCATTTTGAAAGAGAATTTACCGTAATTTTGAACAGATAATTAAAACAAATATTTTAAACAATATTTCAACTGGAAAATATGTTATGGATAGTTTGTTTTATAAATGTATGAGTGTTAGTTGCAAAATTAATTTAATTCAATTAATTCATTCATAGCTTTATGAAATATGTGAAAAAGCACTAAAGTCATCAATTTCACATGCAATTACATCTAAGTGAATGTCATTATTTGAGAAATAAAATCATTTCAGATTAAAGTGTAAATTTTTCAGCAATGCCAAACTTTTTTTTTTTTTTTTTTTTTTTTGGTAACTTTTACAAATTTTTGATTAGACTGAGGCATTTAATTTCATAACATAATAAACAAATTTTAGGAATTAGAGGATCAACATATAAATATACTTTCAACACTAATAAACAGTTCTTAAGCTTAGCTTCATTTAGAAAGCCATTATTCTGCTAGAACATAAATTCAAACTTTGATTATCTTCAATACTAATTATTTAATTAGCCATTCATTTCATGTAGTATATTTTGATTTGAATTACAACATCGGTGTTAATATCTCTATCTTTACCTGTTCATTACCTGAACCGATGATGAAAATTAAAATACAACTAACAATTATGACAAGAAATTGTACAATTAATCTAAAAAAAAAAAACAAAAATGAATTTAAGTAAATCTAATAATCAAAAAGATAGTTTAAAATTGATTAAATTTCATCAAATGAACTATAAAATTAAAAGTTAAGTTGAAAAATGAAAAGAAGAGAAAAACGAAAAGATTAGGTATAATTAAAAGTGAATGTGAAGTGTAATAGATAACAATGCAATTAATTATTCACATGCATCATTACTAATTTATGACTAATTAATACGATAAAAGGAAACAATGGATTATCGCTCAATTAATACAATCAAAATTTGATGGGAAACAATTACACATTTATTTATATTTGCTACGTAAATTTAATTGTTTACAAAGTTAAAACAATTTAAGTTATTTTCTTCAATTTTTAATCCCTCGTTTTGATCTTTAATTTCTCATTTTGATCTCTAATCTGTCGCTTTTTTAACTGTTCAATACACATATGTCTGGTCAGTCGGAATGCATTATTCGGTTATCCGATATGTAAGTATTTCCGGTCAAAATGACAGTAATATTTATTCAACCGGTTCTATAATATTTCTGTGCTTCTGCAGGGTTCCCTCGACCTTTTGCTTGAAGTTCAGTGGTTGATCGGTTTCCTCCATAAAAAACTCCTTCGGAGTTCAATTCTCCCACCAGATTCTGTTTACTTAATGACCTGTTTATTTCCCTCCCTCTCTCTCTCTCTCTCTCTCTCTCGGCAGTGATGTATTTATTATGAGTTGAATTTCTTCAACTGATGGATGCAACTGCGGAAGAACGCTTTAGACTGAGCCGAGAAACAATACAAGTAATGAGATTAAATCCACTCCACTCCTCTCCTCTCTCTCTCTCTCAGCTCCCTTTCAGAAGAAAACAGAGAAAGGTGGATGAACTTCAAGAATTCTAAATTCATTCAGAAGGATAATGACTTTTGTTTTTCTGATTTTAAATGAAATTATATAATTTCAAACTTCATAAAGATAAGGCTAACATATTATTTATTGCTTCAAATTAGCATAAGTAAAAATCATTTACATTGTAAAAAACAGGACACTCAGAAATAATACTAAACAATTAAGATTGAAGACGGGAGTTTATTAAACAATTTGATGGAATCAAATTTCAACAATCAGAAATTATTAGAAAGTAAAACTGAAAAAACTTATTAAAGCATATATATTAATGCAGGAATTAATCCAGGACATAATGTCAATTAATACAAAATAAATTTTCATGAAAAAAACTATCAATTAATATTATGTCAGCAACAAAAAAAAAAAAAAAAAGGCAAAAAAGAGGAATGTGAAGTGGATAAAAAGAAGCACAAATGCAATAACAAAATGCAGCAATAGTTCAAATACCGAATAAGATATTCATCTTTAGAAAACTTGGACGTGAATACAAGAGTTTATGGAAAAAATTATTTTAATTATTATTATTATTATTACAAGAACTCCTCAAAGGCACAACGAACTAGTCAATGAACAGTTGATAAAAAGTGCACTGAAATTGTCATATCGAAGTTTTTACCGAATAAACAGCATTAAAATTTGCAAAGATCAAAACTTATTTTTTTCAGTATGCCGTTTGCGGCGCAGAGACTCATTTCATATTTCAGTGCGCGGCTGCGTGAGGTAGAGCGGAACTATACAGAATGAATTAAATTCGCTGATAATAAAAATTTGAATCCGCTCTTCCTACCAATAACCAAGTTCATCCATAATAAACTTCCCCTTCAACAACACATAGTTTCAACAATTGATTAGAAAAAATTTCTGATTAGAATCTGAACCTTGATTGCTGTACTAAAGTTTTAAAACAATCTTAAAACAAAAATGTTTTTAAGGCTATTATTTGGTGGATTCCGGACTGGAGGAGATGTGAGAGATCATGAATCTGATGTGGACCTAGAATACTTAGGAGACTTCGAAAACTTTGAACCTAAGAATGATTTAGGAGATTTTGGACTTTTTGGAGACTTTGGTGATGAGATCCGAATTCGTTTTGTTTCTGGAGATAAATCCTCAGCGCTAAGATTATGAGATCGTTCATTTCGATTTGGTTTTATGCTATGTTCTTCATAAAATTCGTTATCGCCTTCCACGCAGTTTTCTAGAACTGAAATGCACTACGGAAGTTAGAAATTGAAAGTATGACAAAATAACCTTTCTAATGTGATTATCTGTTTTTGTACAAACTGAAGAAATTGTAAAACGCTACCTTTTGAAACTTTCTTTCTTACACCAAAATAACTAAGATTATAACTTACTTGAGAAGCATTTATATGAACTTTTCGACATTGTTTCGTCGGTGATTTCGTCTTTTATTGCTGAAATAAAAATATGCAAAAGTCAGGCCATAATTATGCAATCATTGCGAAAAAAAGTTATCATGACAAAGAGCCACAGTACAACTTACGTTGCATTTGCACACTGGGAGCGTATGGTAAATGCCGCAGATGTTCAAAAATCGTCGACCTACAATAAATACAATTTCAATTCAACTGATTTATACGCTTTACAGTTAAAAGCTGCAACTACGAATATAAACTATAAATTAATTGCAAAAGAAATTAAAAACATCTAGTCCTTAGAATATGAGTGACTCAATTACAGAAATTACATTTAAAGCGAACTTTTTGAAACTCTTATAATTTTCGCATAAACTCCTGTATCATTTTCTTTTCTTTTTTTTTTTGTTTGTGAAATATTATAAGCAGCAATCATTTAAAACTTACTGCATTTTTTGAAGATAATCGGGTGTGTTCAGATTTGTCATATTTGATGGAATGATGTGGAGCTTGAAATCATTTGAGTAGTACTCAAAATAATCATTGTACGGCAATTCTAAAGACAAAGCAACTTAAAATTTGAAATTGAAAATTGTACAGCAAAGAAACAAT